TAACTAAATTTATATTCCTTGAATATACATTAAATACATTTCCAATAAATAAAACCCGACTCTTTATATGCTATGGTTTAAGATTCTCCCGTGTGTCTAGAGACACTTTTTATATTTTATGAAGAAAGTTTAGTGGGAGACCTAAAAAGAACTAGTGTTATTCGGTAATTTTTAAGAAAAAACAAGTTATTCCATAATGTTACAACTAAATAAACATTTTGTAGCAGTTTCTCATAATGGAGTCATTTTTCTTGTTGTCCATTTTTTCTTCAAACCATTGTAAACAAAGATAATGATTGATGATATAAATGATGATTTTAGCCGGCAAAAAAAAAAGTATTTTTTAGTTGACATAATTCATCGTTCCGTTTAAATTTTTTTTTATCAATCTGTTGAAGATAAAATAATATCTATTAAACAAATCACCGAATGTCACGTATTACAAAATAATATGGTAAGGTTTTTAATTTCTCATGTGGAACTTATCTTCTAGCAAAAACTCTAAAAAAAATTGGGTCTAAATCTACGGTAATCCAAATTAACAATTTATCATCTTAATGAAAACTGTGGGAGTCGAATCTCACAATTAGATTTATCTTCGTAATTTTTCTAAGATTTGAAAACTTCTGCTGAAAACCACTAAAACTTATAGATTTCAAGAGAGAATTTTTATTAAATTGTTAAGAAAATCGTTACAGATTACAATTGTTTAGGTAATGAATTCTGTATCTCCTCTGCAGAGGATGTACATGTGTATTTGGCTAAAATTACGTCTAAAACAATAAGAAAAACTTCTTTTTCCTTCGGGGTTTCCATTCCTCCGCGATGGGCTTCTTGGAAACTTTCATTTATCCGCGGAAGGCTCTTAGTCGGCTAGTCACTAGGTCGGCTAGCTCCTGGACCTGTTCCATATCGGCTTACTCTGAATCTCTGATAAAGGCCTAGCGGACGGTCGATTAAACATTGGCTCGCCGGTTTTAATGACAATAAATCGCCCGCCGTTTAACTTCACACTTAGCCATTTTCAGAATTGTTGATTCGGTGGGAGGAATCTGACCCCAACAAAAATAACTAATATCGTCTACAATAAAAATTCTAAACGTCAAGTACATCTAACTCTACAATATTATGATTCTACAATATTTTTTCAATGTTTCTAGTTCTAGACCTGAAATACGAAATTTATCACTTTTTTTTTTTGAAAATTAAAATTTTATTGTAGACGATATAAATAATATGATTTTACAAGAATCACGTCAAGTACAAGAATTATAAGTATCACCTTTTTATCTTTATAATTCTTGTACTTGAAGTACATCTAACTCTACAATATTATGATTCATGAATAGAAGCAATTAGTATCATTTTTGAAAAAGTTTTTGTTACTTTGATGGTGTAATAGTAACCGAAAGCTTTGAATGATTAGAAGCGTGTGGGGCATTTCGTAATGGGTTTGAAAAATAAGCACAAGCGCAGACAATCCTACGAGCGCCACGTGGCAACAGCTAACCATATTCCACTTACGGAGAACTTCTTTGTGGACTTTCCGATTCTAATTTCTCTTTCCTTGCAACAATTCAAATGGTGTTAATATTTATTTGATTAACCTAATATGGTACAAAAATATTTAACAATGAAAAGAAACTGTAAGTGATAAATAAACAATTTGAAAAAGTAAAAGAAATGATGAGCGACAGCGATTCCCAAATAGTTTAACAATACCGTGTGTAATGTGTTTATCATTTTTGTTAACCATAAGAACGATAAATATGTCATAGTATTTTTCAAAAAAAGAAG